AATTTTATAAAAAATTGTAAATGTCAATAACGAGTAAAATCTTCATTAAGTCTGACCCTATTCGAGGTATGACCCACGATCCTTTCGACCTTTAAAAGTGTGGTCTATAGAGGGCAGATTTCAAATTAGGCAGCATCCAAACATAGTATCTCATTGCATGTGACAAGTGTAACAAATTAGCATCACAGTTGGCCAACAACACCCTTTGCCTTCAGAATTTTAGATGGAGACACGTTGAACAGTGCCCTGCAAGCTTATATCTCTGTATAATATAAGCGTTTCGAAGAAATGAAATATTTCTCGCTTGCAGCAGCAAAATAGCCATAGTAGTGAGTTTTGGTACTAGTTTTCTTACGCAAATGTCTTGTAAATGTTCTGAAATGTCTTATTACCAGTTATTATTGTATTTTGACAGCTGAATGTCTCTGTAAATAGAGTGGAATAGGAATACTTGATTTACTATTACCAAATATTTAGTTCCTATAAGTGTTCAGTTTAATGTTATTAATACATTCTGACAGAATATTTTATTCATTATGCTTTGATATGTGCAACATGTATCAATATCTTCGTGCACTACAACATGAAAAAATTCGGCTACATTACGTAGAAAAAACTTTTTAATAACTCTTTTTATCCTTGTAAATACTAAAAGGTTATTTTTAGAAAGCCCATTTTGGTTTCGGCCAGGCCCACACAAGGTCGGCTGGAAATTGAAGGTTTAAGCCCGAAATATCCAAATAAATCATTTTCTCTTACAATTCTTGGGGTGTTTCGGTCTGTTGGGAGCAAGTCGAGTTTGTACGTGTGAATATAATTTTCTATGCTATGTCTGTTGTTGACAGGTTTCATTAAAAATTTTTAAATATTTAACTGCAGTTGCCTTATTCGTATAACTCAATAATTACTCTTTAACACACGATAAATAATGGAAATATTTCTGTTGTGTTGTCTTCAGCGCCTCCTAACATGAGTGACGCTCTTTTTTCGTGAGTTCTTTGAACGGGTAAAATATTGCATAATCTAACAAATATAAAACTAAAATTGCTTGAAAAATATTTTATATTTTCAAAATTTTATTTGCGATAATCACATTTAAATATTCTTTCTTTTTCTGAATTTCATGTTATGAACGGTGTGAGATGTATTATATTTGTGATAGAAGGTGATGTTTCAGGATATTAGAAAAAAATATATTTTACAAATAAATGTATTGTATTTATATTATTCAGTATTTTTACTAAAATCGTATACTACATTTAATATCAGGTTGATAATTATCAGTTTATAATTCTAAAATAACACTTCTCTATTATGGAAATTTAATCTACCGAGTCAACAATGACAGAGAGAACTTGATACGTGTGTGGTGCTTTTATTTAGTAAGCGATAAGTAATTAAGCCGATAACAGAGTCCGTTTTATATGAAAAGCATACATTTACATTAAGTAAGACAATAGTCTTACTTAAATATATGCTTCTTTAAAATTTCCTTGGACTAGCACTACATATTTTGTAATTGTATAGTTATTCTGTCTTGTTTATTGTGTAATGTAATATTATCCTGTTAAATTCTTTTATCTCTTATAACCTTAATTTTATGTGTCACGTGACATTTCTATGTTAATATATAGACGATTTCCTGAACTTATTTATTTAGTTATTTTTGAGAGCAATAATATAGCGTTTTTTTTTTATCATTGTCCCAGACGTGAAAGAATATCGATACTTTTATAAAGGTAAGTTTAAATATAGTCAGATCATATACGTAAGAACTATTTGCTTACTATAAACATACACACAGGTGTAACTATAGAATTTGGCACTGCAGCCCTCCTTTAATTAAAACTCATAAATAGTTTTTGGTCATTCACAGTTATCATCACTAAATCCATCTGACAATTTCTGGTTAAAAATATTATTATGAGCAACACTAGTTATAAACCGATAAGTGTTTATAGTATAATGACTATATTATGTGAAACAGAATCCAATCCTATCTCAAATTCATTTATCGGTCGCTTTCAGATACTTCTATTTACTTGAATCTACTTCAAGGTTTGGAGTAACAACGAAATCTCTTCATCGCTGTGGTGTGGCGTAAATGCCATACAAACGAACATATTTTTTGTAGGTGCAACAGAACTAAATATTTATTTCAAATGACCTGCTGCAGCGCTGATTTCTTACACTTTAATATTAACGAATGAAGTAAGTCACAAATTTCAAGAAACAACTTATAGAAGTAAATCGTAAAAATATATTCCTAAGAAGATATTTATAATCTGTTTTACCTCGTACTTGTATTTTTAATCTGGAGGGAACCCTGACATATGGAGATATGCAGCACTGTCCACTGTCTGAAATTGTCCAGGTGGACATACATTGCATTCTTTATGCAGCGCCACTCGATTGCTGGAGACAGAATCTCCAACGCCACAGTACTGACTTCAACGAAAAATCAGAAAACATCGCGCAATACCCTACTGACTTTGCATTGGTAATAAAAATATCTTAACCTTTATATTTTGTATTTTTTAGCTATTCGAAGAAATTGTCCCTAAGTAGCTTGTGAGTCACATCAAAACGCAAATCATTTTTTAAATACATGAATGTATTGATTAATTGGTATTAAATAGTGCAACACCAAAGCGATCTTCAAATCGGGAAATTGACGAGTGGGTATTTAGGGAGAACTTGTTTGTATACCAGTGTTATCGCCGCGAAGGAAAAGCAATGAAATTCACTAGCCAGCCCATGCCGACTACTAGTATTTAGGGATTAAATCCGGATTCGATTTAGCCACTGTCCACATGGGTGTCGAATTCTAGGTAGAAAGTCATTTGCAACTGACTCGACTGTCTGTTCCTTTAGAAACAGTACAACTCAGTCGTCTGAATGGCTTTCAATGTGTGAGAGAAACAACAAATGTCTATGAAATTATTTCTAAAAAGCTTCACCATGTTACCACAGCAAGCAGTCAGGAAAACGTCGAAGCACCAAAATTATCTTTGGCAGAGAGAAACTCCGAAGTAATTTGGACTTTCATTTCGTTTGCCATAATTTTTACTTGGCGCAATAACTTTTTACATCTCGTATGTTTTTTTAGATATCAATTGTTTTTTGAGTAATTTGGCAAATTAATGTTTTCACTGCCCTTCTATTGGCTACAGGTTATCTATGACCATTTATTATTGCTTCTATACCATTATTTGGTCTTAAAACAAGTCAATAGGTGAACAATAAAATAATGAAAGGAAAATCAGGATCTAACTGAAAAAAACTAAAAGAAAAAGAGAAAACCAATTTAATGTGATATATCAGGATGGGGTAAATGTTTAAGAATAGAAATTTTTCACGCTAGCTTTTGTATAGCAAACATTAATGCTATTAGATATTGGTGATTAATTCCGAAGAGTGATGAGATACGGGCAGTCACGTGTCAAATCTCCAGTGGGGTTGCACTTAACCCTGCATTAGTGCACTAAGTTTTTTTTCGACATTAGTGCAGTGGGGCGTTTNAACATATTATTACACACAATATTAGCTATTTTCTGAATGAACGATTTCAGTTACCGCACGTCGATGAATATGAATCTACTTCAAAATTATTATTAAAAAGAAAATCGGTTCATCGCCCCAGTGTTGTGTTAATGACATTCACACAAATATTTTTCTGTATTTGCTAGAGTATAAAATACTTGTTGCAGTAATGATTCTGATATTAGTTTTAAATGTTTTACTACTAAATAACGAAGTAAAGTCTATCAAAATATTAAAGAAGCAACTTATAAAATTAAATCAAATAAACATATTTGTAATAAGGTATTTAAAATGTATTTTTTTGAACTCGTGCATTTATTTGTGATTCAGACAACTTGAAGGAGATGTATTGAGTCAATCGAAAGTGTCGTTCCGGTCTTCTCAGTGGGGAGACACTTTAAAATATGATATCTAAAGTTAGTATGCAGTAATAGCACTTAAACACGGTCATTTGTATATGTTACTGATAAGTTTAGAGAAGAGGGCCACGCTTTTTCCTAAACCTTAGGGCCACGCTTTTTCCTAAACGCTTTTTCCTATAGTTCAATTCAACGCTTGTTCAATTGAAAATGACCAACAATAATTTAAATGTTATAAATATATTGATGACTACAAAACGGACTTTATGTGTTCAACACTACCGTCGACAAAAAGGTTGTTTTAGCCTATTAACATATCTTTTTACAGAATCGTAGCCTAAAAAAGGTTTTTGGTTGTCAGTGGTGACTGTGAAAAAGTTGACTGTAATGACGAAAAGTCTTTTTTGTATTCTTTAATACATGTTGACTACTTTAATTAATTCAGAAGTGTACTTATTAGTGTTGATTAGTACATGGTTTCATTTCTACTTTTTTGGCTCTGTTATATATATAGTGTATAACCAAGGAAAGTATGGCAATCAGTCAAAAACCGTCCTACATTTTTATATTTTTGGACTCAGTAGACCTTAAAACATCGTAAGATGCAAAAATAAAGTAAAGGGTAAACACACTCTCACGCACTCACTCACAATAACATCCATATATAAAAAAGTATATGTATGTTATTGTGAGTGAGTGCTTGAGTGTGTGTGGGTGAAAAGTATAATTTTGTACATTCAATTTAAAGCTTAATTACTACTGTGGTTTTTGGTCAAACATTCTGAAATTAGGTTTGTGTATTAGAGATAATAACTGCATTAAATTCTGGTAATTAAAGATCAACGGGTGGAAAGATAATTATTTTTTATATCCTGCGATGTAATTTGGAAAACAAGCTCATAGTAGCTGACACCATTAACGAAATTCTTGCACGTTGTGAACTAGTGAAAATAACTTTAATTATTGTATAAAGTTTAAAAAGTAAAAAAAATATGAAATATTCGCATAAGGTATAAAATGTTTGATAAATATATATATAACTTATAATGCTCAATGAAATTGGAAATGAAAATAAGTCGAATTTCGCTTCACTTTCAGAAGTTTATTTTACTGAAAGTCTCGTACTGAATCACCAGTGCAGGTAATATTTGCTTTTGGGTTTGTGTCATATCTACGCGTGAAATTACCAGCCTGATGACTAAACGACGTAAATTTCTTTTAGGTTTTGTCAAGCACATTTAATAAAGTTTAACATTCTTTTCACATCCCAAGTATGAAAAGCTTTTTAAGGTATGTTTTCATATTTTTGTAGTTTAGTAATCGAGTAAAAAGTTTAGTTTGCATTTACGTCACTAGTTTAAATTGTTAAGATAATTATAATTTAATAGAAATATTTGCTTTATTATTGAATTTAAACTGTGGTTTTTTTGTTTCCAAATTTCTTCATTTAAATGCTGACAAATAACAGAGTTGGATTAATGCTTTTTCTAAGTGCTGAATATTACTTCTGTGCTTCTGAAAAATATGAGAACACGACAAGTAGAGGTAAAAATAATGTTGAATGTCTTTCTAAGTGAGAAAGTCGCTAACTGATAAAACTTTGTATAATTTCAGTAATTGAACGCAGGACGATTGGAGGAAGGTTGGCAGAAAAAGGAGAATTTCCATTTCTGGTAAGTTTATAGGTATAAACATTTCAGCTCTTGCAACTGTACTTACAAGAAATGTTATTATAATTTAGGTAGCAATATATAAAAATAGAACATTTAGGGGTGCTTTTTCTTTAATCACAACAAGGACGTTAATAGGAGCAGCGCACATTGTAGAGGAGTATGTTTGTTTTAATTTTTATTAAAAATTTTTCGTTGGAATATTATTTGAAATGCGAATGAATATTTTTTCATAAATTTTGTTGTAAATTTTGATGTAAATGACAGACATGTATTGAATATATTTTAAAATTTAGTAATAAGTAAATTTTCAATTTTTTGTCTCTGAATATAAGTAACTTTATAAATAGGTTGCAATTTTTTTTTCTCTAACGTTCGTAAAATAGATCAGGGTAGAAAAAGCTAATCACAACGATAGGATAATGTGGCATATAAGCATAACAATAAATCCAACCTCGGATATCGAACGCCTCGCTTTTTTAAATATTCGGTTCACGAACAAAATTTATGACCCATTTAGGCTCGGTTGACGAACAAGCTACTCTGCAGATCGACAGATGATTATTAACTTTCTGTGTTAAAAAAACTCGAAGGCTCGACCAATCAGCGGTAGGACTACAGATTCAAAAGTTAGTGGGGCCGACGTAGCCTCGTATCATTAAATGTCACGATAGGAATCATCGATGAAATTTCTATTTAAATTAGATTTCTTGTCGCATGCGGAAGAAATACTGTTTTCGTTTTTCGGTGCGTGCCGCAGTCGAATCTATATTAAGCTAGGACACATGAGGCGATAATAATATTAAAAGTAAATGCGGTTAAATATGAAGTAACTATACAAAGGCCGCTCTTAACCTTTATAACAGCTAATCTGAGAGAAAGAGTTCACAAAACTCTAAAATACAAATACCTCTATGAGGATATGATAATATGCATTCGTTGAATGGGCCGTAGGACTCGTAGTCGGCGCAGGAACTGTAGTTGTGGCGATAAGTATGGAAGTTCGAAGTTGTTATCTGTCGTATGGCAATGTCCTTTCGGTCGCTACGTCCGGTGTATGGAGACAAGATGCAGACATTAATAAGTATAACTTCCTTTAATCGCCTTGAGCTTCCGGGAGCTCGAGCTTTTATAAGTTCTTCGTGGGCACGTGATCTACTTTTGTTGCCACTAACGGTGCATACCGATCAACAAGTGTCGACTTTCCCACCTAATTGTGAAAACAAACGGTGACCTCCGATATATTTTCACCAAGAGCGGGTTTTTCCCATCGGAGTTGTTTACAAATGTTTTTCCGACAACTACGTAAAAATCGCGGATCTCACAATAGTTTATGAACCAGATTAATATAGTAAGACGTTTCGAAAGCCAAACTCACTTAAAAAATTCACCATATCAAAGTAGAATTGAATTTTCCTATCATTCCGTTCATCTACACACTTACTTGGCTACAATAGATATTCCAACATACAAACAGGAACTCTGCCGTTTTTCTGACAAAGCTGTTATCAGAAGGAGCAAGTAGAAGATAAAAACAAAAAATGCGATTACAAACCGGAAAAGTAATGTAGTAATATTTTGCTTTATTCTATTGTTTCGCCTAATGATTATTTATTTAAATTTCGTTTTTATTCAGATACACAGTCAAAGATTATTACGGAAGAATAGGAAACGTTGACAAACAAGCGGGGAAGAGAGTGCTGTTTCGGAGAAGGATTATACACGGACGTTATGATTCAAAAACACTTCACAATGATATTGCACTTCTGATTCTCGCACGCAGTATTAACAATATATCTCCGATTGCTTTAGTTGGAAAAAACCTAAGATTTACTAAAGGTTCCGCCACGTTTGTTGGTTGGGGAAGAACTGGTATCAGTAAGTCTGTTATTTTTATGTAATATTCAAAGTCTTGTACGACAATAATAATAATATGAATGACATTTTATGTAATTTAGAAAAAGATGACAGAACAGACCTTCTTCGAGTAGCGAAAGTAAACTTTGTAGATCCAAAATACGTGGGTCGTAATTTCGACTACGAATTAACTTACAAAGAAATTACAACAATGTCATCTAGAGTAAAAGGCATGAAAGTAAAGCAGTTATTACTTTTCACATTATGGCTATAGTTAATGTTACTCTGTTATTTATAAAAGTTTTATTGTTACAGGGAGATTCTGGCTCACCACTGATCAAGAGAGATGCGTCAAAAAGACCAGTGCTTATTGGCATTTTGTCTAGCGGCGGAGATAATATTAGAGAACCAGATGTTTACATGTCAATCAGTTTTTACCATCATTTTATAAAAACTCACAGCGTTGGACGTCTCACATACCTAGACGTACAAAATTAAAATATGAAAATAGCATGGTAAATTTTTCATTTCAGAAAGTATTTATATAAAATATAATTGTATTCGCAAATAGCTCGTATTTCAACAATATTTAAGAGTGGATATATTTTATTTCCATGCCTGTATTACTTTAACAGCTTTTTGTATTAAATAATCTTATGTATTTATTTATTGTAAAAATTACATAATTAGATTTTCTTTAAATAAAAACTTAAAGATCCATGTAAAATTTTTAAAGTGTCACGAATTTACATTATGTATGTACAGTACTTACACTTCGAATCTCTGCACTATTTTACGCATTTATTACATTCGGTGCTGTTAAAATATAAGCAATTATTATAGCCGTGTTAGTATCAATTTCTGAGAAATTTGGCATGGATAGATCTATACGAGAATTAGTGGCATTAAATTCCGGTGTAAGGAACTCGAGGCTGTCAGGAAGTCGAGTGAATCACGTGTTATATTTGGAGTGAGGTCAGATTTAATAAAAGATTTACTCATTGTTTACACTTACAATATTTTTCTAACTTCATTTTTTTAAATTAAGCGTTGCTTGTCTTTTGTAATAATTAATAATATAAATTTTATAAATATACGTTTTTATTTATTTTTGATTTTATTCTGTCTGTTGAAGTAAAACACTATATGTCAATTTTCAACCTTCTTATTTTCGATCTGGTTGAAACTCATGATACTTAGCTGCTCCCGATGACAATACGTTTCTCTTTAGTTACACTTTCTATTATCATTATCAAATAAAAATTATAATATAACATTTAAACAATTTATAAACACGAGGGCTTCGGGTTTTTATTTTCTTTCTCATAATACCAAGAAAACTGTAAAAATGAAGTTAATTGATTACTTTTATTTTGAATAAAAGTGCATTTAAAAAGTTTTTATTTATTGATGCTTTATACTTCGAAATTAATTCATTTCAAACGGACGTTCGAACTGTGAGTTGTTCGAAAACCGAGTTAATTTTTATTATTATATTAATCCACTTTCTATTTTTACATTTCCATATACCAATACTCTATTTAGATAAACTTAAACAGTAATTACATATAATATTAAATAAAAATAACGTAATTAAATGTGTTAAATAATAAATTAAAACATTTATACAATAAATAAAATATGTAAATACCGTAAATAAATGAATATACTGTACCTTAGTGCGGATTTGTGATGTCTCGTTTCTATGGTCATTATACAGATAGTGTAAACACGACCAGTTAAGGCTGTGTTTGTTGTTGAAAATAGCTAATTTATAATAAGAAATCATTTACAAAAGTAAATCTTGCTGTAATATCTGAAAGTTTCTAAGAATCTGTATTTCTTGGGAAACATCAAGGATCACTTCTTCAACGTTTCTCGCGCGGGTTTGTACTTTCGTTCTCGGTTGCGATCTGTAACATCGCTAAAGCTTTTCCTCCTTCGCTGTTTTGGTTGTGTAGCCTCATCGCCTTGAGATAGAATAAGTTTAGTCGACTGTTTACATTTTGAGGTACGTGTATTGTTCTTATTTTGCTGATGTTCCTCACTGTTAAAGAAACGAAGAGTGAAATTAGAAATAAAATAATAGTAATGTAATTAGTATGAAAATTAAGATAAATAGCTATAAGTTAAATTATCAAATGTAGTAGAAAAGTTATTCAATTAAATAAAATAATAAGCCTAATAGTCCTAATATATTATAATAACATAGATCTGGTGACTTCATAAGTAAGGGGAAAAGTATTCCTAATTTAATAATACTGTACAAGGAAGCAAAGGTTGATAGATTTTGTCTATTTCAAATGAATGTGAGCATAAAAAATGACAAAAAGTATATTGTTACCTTTTGTGTATAACATATAGGCCATTAAAACGAATTGTCATACAGTTTTGTGTTATCAAATACGGTTTAAATTTTCTCTTTCACTATATTTTAAACTAGTGATCTCATTCCATCTTATTTGACCTACGACGAGTTCAACAACGTTGACATTACGATAAACAAACTGATAAATGTGCTATGTTATTCTTCGGGTCAGGCGAAAAGGCTTGTAACTACGACCCAAAACTGATACAAATCCACTTGCCTCCATTTGCGCTGTTCGCCGTAGTAGTAGTAGTAGTAGTAGTAGTAGTAGTAGTAGTAGTAGTAAGACAGGTATCACTCTTTGGTACGACCTGTGTTATGGAGAAAGGGGGAAGATGGGGAAGATAGGGTGGGGGTGAGAAAGAAAAGGGGATGAAAAGAAAAGGGTTGGGATCCATGGGCGTCCCGCGACGGTGTTTTATAAGGAATAATCAGCAGAAAAAACAATAACGATAACAAGAATGTTACAGAGGAATACAGGTTGGGAGTGCCACGTTACAGATCGCAAACAGCACTAACATGTGAACAGGTAATAACGTAAATACAGTGTGCAGATTAATAATGTTACAAGAAATTACATGTTGAGAGCTGTCTGACAAATCGTAGATAGTACAAACATAATAACAGATGACAAATGAATGTACAGTACAAAATGTAAATTTTTGAAAAGTTTAGGCACACTGAAATTTTCGTTAGGATTTTATTTCGGAAGATTTTAAATTAAATCTATCAAATTAAAAATTAAACTTTTAATGACAACGGAAATATTTATTGATTAGTAATTTTCTTAAATTGTCTCTAAAACAAGGAAGTTACCCAACAGTATGCTCAAAGTAATATATTGATTAAAACGTGGCATTCTTGTTATGTCTATAATTCTGTTATATAAGACACATTTAGAGTAGGATTCAATTAAGATAATTAAGATTCTTAGTGTTTAGAATAAATGGCATTCTCACATAGAGGATTGTATCATTATAAGATAATACCTATCGTATCAAACGTTTAAGTAGGTATAATTTTATACACGTTTATTTTCGAAACTCATTACACGAAGTATGCCATTAATAACTTAATACATTTAAAGTGTACTTTTTTAAACGGAAAATATGCGTGTTATTGAAGTTGAGTTTGAGTGGAGTAGAATAATGGGATAAGCAACACAACAACTCACTGTGATCTGCCAACAGGGAAATATCTCCCTGATTGTGACAAAGAGTTTCTATGCGATTTTGTCCGAATAATTACCTATAATCAACGGCCACCTTTGAACAATGGACAATTTTTATGTCTTCGTCAGAAACCGACGCTCAAAGGGTTAATTCTTTCAATTTGGAGCTGATATTGATTCTATTAGCGCCCACACGAAAGAAATATTGAACAAAGAAACACAATAAAATATTTATAATTTAAAATTATGAAAAACGCAAGTAATGAGATTAAAATACTTCTTTATTTCTTAAATGCAGCATCACAAATTCTCGGATTAAATATATTAGGATGTGACTATCGTAAGAATTCAAGGAAAATTCGATTTTTTCAATTTTATTCAAATTTTCTCGAATTTTTTCTTATCCTGAATACTGTGGCATTAGTTTCCACGATATTTTCCGATAAATTCGTATGCGGAGACTTGTTTAACTTATTCGTGGGTTTCAAATACATCATACAGTTATTTCTTATTGGCATGGTCGTATTCTGGACTTTTCAGTTCTCTTTTCTTAAACGAATTCGTTTACATCTTCCTAGTAGTAAATCTTGCTATGAAGTGGAGGAAAAGTTAATTAACTCCATAGAATTTCAATTTGCAGTTTTCTTCGCAGTCACTGCTTTATTACAAGTCATGGGTTACTTCATGCTTGACTTTTCTCAATATTTTGCCATGGAAAAGGCAACTGTAACAGAATTCCTTCTCTGTAATATCGATTGGGCATTATCATCATTTTTTTTTATTAGGACAAACTGTTTACATATTATTTTTTGTTTATAATTATTTACTCATCTTGTTTAATGGATTTAACACATTGTCGAGCAAACTGGATGTAGTTCCTCATAGAAGGATCATGATCAAAGATATAATCTTATACATAATCGAAGAACATACAGCATTAATGGAAGACGTTCGAAACGTCAATAACCAACTCGAAATGTATTTTCCTGCTGTTTACTGCAATAATTTATACGGGTTCAGTATCCTGGTAACCATTACTTTGTTTTATGATTTACCAGCGGAATTTAAACTGGGTGCATTTGTTGTTATCATATACGTAATTTTCGAATTTATAATAATTTCATTCGGATTATCCAGATTTGCATCCTCGATAAGATTTATTTAATACTTGTACCATCAAATTAATATATAATTTATAATGTGTATTATTCATTTCAGATTTACGGAAATTTCAACGAGATTAATATATTTTCCTCATGCAGATTTTTCCTCGTTTTTAAATTGAAGGTAAATTAAGTGTTTTATTTTTACGTTATTGATAAAGTTTATTCCAAAGTTATGCACTTTTTCGAACAGATGCTGAATTTTATGAAGAGATTCGGGAAAACACCCATTGGAATTTCTTTTGGTGGATTTTTTCGAGTCAAACGCAATTTTCCGATTAAAGTAAGTTTCGATTAAATTAAGCATTTTAATTTATTATTGTAGATTTTATTTTTATCGCTATTTTCTCTTTTAGATGCTGAGTAGTTTTTACTCTATTCTTTCTGCTCTTATCGAATTGGCAAAGAAGAACGAAAGTACGAAATGTACTTCATCACGTTTGTTGAATGCGAGTAATATTCAGAACACATCACTGTATTGAGAACTTTCAAAGTGAGTACATAAAATCAACGAAGATTCGTTGAATCGAGGAAACGATTTGCAGCTTATCGAGATATTGCTGATTTTTCTATAACTATACTTGTATACGTGAACGAATATAAAATATCTGTAATATTGAATAACTAGAAGCACTTCTTATACGTATAAACACAAAAAACAAAGTACACTTAATGAGTAATGTAGAAAATAAAGTTTAAACAATCTTATTTCTTTAATTTATCAATCGTTAATTCTAAAACATTCCACTAACGAAATACAGAAACACTGACCATACAACTTATCTGATATTTTTTGTATATAGAAAGAACAGCTGAGAATCTTCACGACACTAGTTCTATTCAACCTTTTATTGGAAACGTAGTTAAGTGGTACACAGGTAAGAAAAAAACGAAAAATATGTGGCAAGGTGTTTGTATAGGCGCAAACTCATTTTCTCATATATTAAAAAGCATCTTTCCTGAATTATTATTATTATTTAATTACAAAAATCTACTTAGTTAATTATGAA